AGCCCCTAATTATATTTTTCATTGAATAAAGACGTTATTTCCCCTTATCAACTATAGAATCTGCAATTGGGCTTTAAGGAAAATAGCATGCAGGGTTTTGGAGTACTCAAGTGTGCCACTGGATTTGCGTAAAAACGGTGTTTGCGTGGGAGGTCAGGCAAAAGAGAAATTTGAAAAAGCGATTTTACCCCAAATTTACAATTATGACATCAACGAAAAAATGACATTTGTGTATATGCAAAAGAATTTAGTCAGTGAGCACGAAAGATTAATTTATAATCCACGTAAATACAGTGGTTTAGGAGTTTTATCCTACCCTGTCCATAACATTCAGCAATTTTTTAAAGCGATCGAATGTTGCCGTGAATATAATTTTTTTAAATAAACGAAAAAAGGCGGGAAAATACCAAACTTTTCCTTTTACTTCAGAGTTGGCTTTACTGTGGCAAAGGGGGGTGCAATATCTTTGGCTGTGCATGTAAGGGCGGATGCAAGGAGAGCTGTAACCCGACTATTTCGTAAGTTCCATCAGCTCCTTCACAAAAATGGTGATGATTATAACACTAAGCTATGTTAAATTTGGTATAATACTAACATAAAAAATGTTCTAAAATCTTTCAATGAAACTTTTAATAACAACTCAATTTATTACTTTTCTGTGATCGTGTGTGGAACTAAATCACCCTTCTGATTTAGATTTACTGTGTATTTGTAAATCTATCTCCACCTCCTTTGCGAAATACTTTATATGCCGACATAAATTTATTTACAGATATATTCAAGGCACCTGCACCTGTAATGACAGAAGAAGAGATCTCAAAGACTCTGATTCTGGGATTGCCGCTTAAGACATTAGAGGGATAGCTACGGACAGGTGAGGTAATCCTATTATGCAGAATTTAGACTTTGTTAATAATATGTTTAGACTTTTTTTACTGATTTCCCAGTATTAAATAGTTGAATTGTTTAAAATTCAAGGACTGTATGTAAACCCTTAGTCCCTCCATTCCATGCGATTTGTATTTGAAATGTTTAAGGTTTTTTTTTAATAATAGGTTACCCATTTATTATTTTCTTTTCAGTGGTGTGTTTGAAGATGTCCCCAAAAGACATTAAGGAATCTTCCACTGATGTCACTGATGAGAATTTAGATGGCAAGATCAATGCCATTGAGTTCTATCCTGATATGAAATAGAAAACATATAATTGGAGAGTATACAATGTTGATTTATTTCCTTTCCTTTTGGTTTTGTTATTTCTAATTCTATCTACTTTAAATTATTCTATGAGCTGAATATCGTTCAACAAATAAAGACAGGCCAAAGTTATCAGTGTGTAGTCACTAAAACCAAACTTCACACTTTAGCACGCTTATTAACAGATTTATGTTAAACATTGAATGAACACTATTTTGGCACGGAAAGCAAAATGCCGTTGCTCAAAACGATGGACCTTGTTACAACAGTTTTCAATACCATTTTACAATTTAATGCAAACACTACAAAAAGGATGGCTTCTTACAAGATTAAATGCGGCGGTTGAATTGCATGTAATTTAAAGGTGCACGTTACATTTATGTCTCACGCGTTCACCCAAGGAATTTTGTTTCTGTCAAACTCTGCAGTATGCATGTGTTTCCGGTATTTGCTTTATCTATTAAAGACAGGCTGATCCATGGTCAATTGCTCATAAAGGTCTTTGTTATTATTGAACATGAAACGATGGTCAATTAGATGACGAAATAATTACAATCAACTTTACCCAGCTATATCCAAGGCAAAATCCATGAGTAGGGTAGCAACATACTGCTTGCACGTCTTCCAGAAAACGGTTACCAAGCAGATTGAAACAAGTAAATTTGCAAATACGGCAGGCAACCATCTTCTCCGATGTTAAATAAAGAATACGCTTAACATGTTATATTCATAACTGAATACATAAAGGTGGAATGTTACTCAAAACAACTAATGAAGATTTAGATTGTTCGTAAGAAAAAAAACAAAAACAAAAACAAATGAAGCAGTTGATTTGTGAATTCGCCATACCTTTTTGTCGACTAAACTAAGAGACTGAACATGTATACGCTCTGAATTGAAGTATTCCTTAGACCATCATCTTCATTAAGCACTACGCATGACACATTTTTTTAACAAATCGACAAAATGTATGCTGGCAACCTGAAAGGCGTATTTTTACTCATCAACGCTAATTAGGGGGAAAAACTGTTTGAAAACTGTTGCTCTTTCGAGAAATGGTAGACAAAGAGACAGGTTAAAAAACCCGAATGCCTCTTGATTTTGCTCGGCGCTAGATAAATGATTTTATCAACAACCACTGTAATCAAATGACCACGTAATCTTGTTAGTTATACACCCACCGTTCATTCCACAAAAAAAATTGTTGTTCATCCAAAACGCGCTGACCAGTATAAGAATAACACCCCATTTCCATAGATTAGATGGACCTACTTTAGATCGACCTAACTCCCTGGGGGTTCACGCTAAATAGCTGTCAGCCGGGCGGACACGAAAGTTAATTACCACTTGCAGCTTGTAGTAGGCGGGGACGGACACTTAAAGGGGATTATCTGACAGTAATCTAGTGAGACTCCCCGCGGTGATAGATCGATCTAAAGTTGTGGGAATAGACCCTAAGTGTCAACGCGAATGACCAACGCCAAAAAATTTGATTAATAAAACGTTTGTTTTAATAAGCAAATTATCCAGTGCATTAGCTATACATTCACTATCCAAAAATGCAGGTATTTGCATACTGAGCTATATAAAAATCGACACTCATTACTTTTCTGTAGTCCGATTTGCATCATTTATTCCAGAGTTTTCCAAAAGCATATCGGTGAGTGAGATTTATTAGTATCCTTTTATAAGTAAATAGATGCTATACATTATATGTCGATATAATTATAATAAAACACATCTGTCCAGTCTCTTTCAGTTTCTACGATTATAATCATTTTAGAGCACTATTTAAGTAATTGATTGTCTGGTACAATTAAGATATTACATTTACTTCCCACAGGAAGTATTGTTTTGGTTTTCTTTTGCCTGTCTATGTGTCTGCCTGCCTGTAAACATTATACAAAGCATAATGCAAAATAATAATTATAAAATGGAAAAAAAAAAAAAAAACGACTGGATTTTTTGATAAAATGGCGGGAGTGGACAAAGTAAGAAATAGATGATCCATTGATTAACTATTGGTATAATAAAGATAATATAGCTTGTTTGGCGGAGGTCTGTTGCTCTATAGGTATTTTCTAGTAACCAATATATTCATATCGTTTGTTCACTGTTGTAAATCGCTGGATTATTATTTTTGATATTCAGGAACATGCCTTGTAGCTTAGTCTGCCTAGTTGTTGCCGTTTGTTTGATGGGCTTGGTAATAGACGTCACTCAAGCCGTTTGTTGTCCAAAAAATTATCCTGGCGGTTATTGTGCAGACTGCAGTCAGGTAAGACGTTTATATACTTCTTTAGGTAAAGAATACACACATCCTTTGTGAATCATCACAATTACAACTGTTCTTGAGCAGTTATTCGCCGTGTATTACCTTGGTCTCATTTACGTTTGATTCAATAAGAAAATACAGGTTGAAAATTGAGCAGTGTGCATCATCAAACATTACATTAGCATATACGACGATTAATATATCCTGTTCAGCACATATTTTGCAGCTCAATGCAATCTACATGGACAAGTTCTAAGTATTGTTATAAGTACGGTGATAGAAAATCAGCAAATCTGTATATGTATGCGTTTATTATGGAAATATACACCATTTGGATAGTAATTAACCTGATATATTATGGTGACGGTCAGGGTTTATGATCATCAAAAAACAAAAAAAGATATTTATGTAGCCAAATGTTCACAAGCACAACGAAGNATGATGTATTACCAAAAAGTTAATAGCACCACTAAAACAAACTATTTGCTACATAAATACAATTAATTCTCTTAATTGTAGTTTTTTCCTATATTTCATTATTAAATAATGTATCTGATATTTTCCTGATTAAACAATAAAAAATCCCCTTGCATTTATATTTCACGTTACTTAGCAAAGGCACAAGCAACTTGGAGCAATTATCGTCACTTAAACAGCATTCTACATTGTATTTTAGATGAGACAGCGATCGGTATGGATCGGTATATGTTTATTTTTTCTCTGTGCAAGAATTTATCAGTAGTGAAACGTGTATGGGCTTCAATCCCGTGTCGTCATTTTGGCTTAAATGTTTTTTTTTCTTTCTTTTTTATGGAGTCATAAACCCTTAACTACATTATTCATTGAACAGAAGCATTATTTCACCCTATTAACGATAGAATCTGAAATTAGGCTTTATGGAAAAAAGAAGGAAGGGTTTTGATTAACTCAAATTTGCCATTAAATTTGCGTTAAAACGGAGCTTGCGAGGGTGCTCAGGCAAAAGAGAAACCGATATTGCAATTTTTACCCCAAATTGCAATTTTGACATCGTCGATAAAATGACATTTGTGTAAATGCAAAGGAATTTAGTCAGTGAACACTGAAGATTTATTTATTATCCAAAGCCTGTCCGTAACATTAAGCAATTTTTTTTTGATTTTTAAAATGAATTGTTAAAATGAACGAAAAAAGAAGTTTCCGTGTACTTCAGACTTGGACTTACTGTGGCAAAGGGGGTTGCAATATCTTTGGCTGTGCATGTAAGGGAGGTTGCAAGGAGAGCTGTAACCCGACTTTTTCGTAAGTTTCATCATCTCCTTTCACAAAAACTGGCGATGATTATAACACTAAGCAATATGAAATAAGGACATAGAAAATGTTCTCAAATCTTAAAATGAATGTTTTACTGACAACACACTTAATTGTTTTTCTCTGATTGTGTGTAGTTATAAAGCATCATTCTGATTTAGGATTACTGTGTAAATCTATTTCTGCCACCTTTGCGAAATTCTTTACATACTGGGATACATTTATTAACAGATTTCGTTATGGTGGCTGCACCTGTAATAATAGAAGAAGGGATCTCAAAGGCCCTGATTCCGGAGCTGCCGGGCATTACAGGCACAGATAAAGACAGGTGAGGTATTTACAACGATGCCAATATTAAGAGTCATTATCTACATACGACCAATTTTGCATGGGTTTGTCATAGAAATGTTAGTAGTGTAGAACACGATTTTGATTTGCCCAATTTTATACTGATATGTAGTAGTACGTCCCCAACATAAAGCAACTGGATTGTTTAAACTTTAAGTTCTGCATGCAAAGCCTTAGCCCAAGTGCAATTTGTATTTGGAATATATAAGTTTTTTTCTCTATAATCATGATTTCCATAGCAATAATCATACTGATGCCAGATTAATGGGTTAATAAATTATTGGTCATAGTGCCATGTAAGGTTCGTTTTTACTATTGTGCAAGATTGAAAAGTGGAGCAATGCCCGTCGTACACCATATTTATTATTTTCCTTTCAGTGATGGGTTTGAAGATGTTTTCAAAAGGCATTTGGGAACCTTCCACTGGTGTCACAGATGAGAATTTAGATGGCAAGAACAATGTCATTGAGTTCTATCCTGATATTAAATAAAAACATATGAATAGAGAGTATATACAGCGTTGATTTATTTCCTTTCCTTTTCCTTTTGTTATTTCTTATTCTATTTCCAATTATTGTACGGGGTGAATATCGCTCTATGAATTAAGATAGGCAGTGTGTAGTCACTAAAACCAAACTTCATGCTTAAGAGAGTTTATTAACAAATTTATGCTGAACATTTAATGCGCACTATTTTATCGAGGAATAATAAATACCGTCGTTGCCCAAAACAAACTTTCTCCAAGAAGAAATAATTGACTGACACCAATGCAACATAAAACACGAACAGAACCGCCTGCAGCCTTGATTTGTTTTACATTTTTCTTGTACCATTTGATCTTTAGTAAAACAATTACACTGTAAAAACAGTGTTTAGCATTAAAATACATACAAAACACGTTAGGCACCTATACGCATTTAGAAATCTGTGTAAATACTAAACACATAGCTTTTCAAGCGTTTCACAGAAGAAAAAGCTAGATACGTTGGCAGTGTTACACGTTTAGCCATGTGTTTAGCTTCACCGGGATATGATTCTATAACAAGTCTATCACTAGCTAAGCACATTGGCTAAGCACTTCCCCTGCTAAGCGCGTGAGGCTGCTAAACATATGGAGCTGCTATAGGTGTGGAATTCCTTAACGCGTGGAGCTGCTAAACAACACGTTTAGCTTTTCAAGCTTGTCACAGAAAGAAAATGCTTCACAATCCCATGTATACGATCCCATAACAAGTTTATTACAAGACTCAACAATTTTGGTTATCACTTCCCCTTGTAAACGCATGGAGCTGTTGGAGGCGAGAAGCAGCCTGCTCGAACGCGTTGTGTCCTTCCTTCAGTAATAATCTAAATAAAAACATAACGTTTTCACGACGTTATCAGCTGGTTTCATGATGGTGATGGTATAGAATAACGTTATGGTAACGTTATGGGTGTTTTCAACTCCATGCAAAATGATGCCCTGCATTTTTATAAGCGTTTTTTATAACATTCTGGAAAAACATTATTTAATGTTTTGAAAACCTTTTTTATAAATCACTAAAACACGTCTTATGCTGTATGAACTACAGTTAGCGGTTAATTCCAAAATGGGTTTTGGGTTAGTCGGCGACTAGAGCGGTGCGATTTGTAAAATATTCGGACTATCGTTACCAAAATAACCAGCATGCATTGAAACCATTATAATGAATACCCCACCATCATCCTGATGTTCTATTGTTCATTACTTCCGGAAAAAATAAATGAACATCAATACCGTAACGCATTTTATCAAAATATGAAAAAAATGTTTTAAAGTAAAAGTGATAGCTGTTTCGTGTCTTTAGTAAACTAGTGAATTTTCCTAACTTTTTCAGAATTATATTCCAATAAACTTCCTCGCAAGGTCAGCTAACACAAGGATGAATAAGTCCCGCTGTAAAGATGGTGGTGTAAATCAACTATGTTGACAGTTCACGGTACCCTGTTTTAGATAGAGATAGCTATAATAGTTGAAGGTGACCGTGTCTTCATGTGTGTGTGTGTGTGTGTGTGTGTGTGTGTTTGTGTGAAACCCTTACCACCTAAGAGTAAAGCAAATACACCCTACATTTATTAGGCGGCAAACGCGTCAAAGTGTGTAATATGTTAACGAGCTTAACGTGCTTAGGTGCTAAACGCGTCGAAAAAAGTGAGACAAAACAGGCGCTTAGAAATGTGTTTAAGTGCTAAACACTGTTTTTACACTTAGACGGCCATCGCTTGGGTAGAGCAGGGATCTGGATTCATCTGAGAAGACCACATGGTACCAATGCAAGATGATAAGCTTTCTGTTTTTTGTAGCCTAGTGCCACCTATTTATTCACTGGTGTCGTGTTAACCTAGGCTTCTTGGCCATCCTTCTTGCCCAAGATACTGGTAAAAGAAGTCATACATATTCTATCCAATGCAGAAACCCTGTAGTTTATACCCATTGTGGATGAGATGTATGGAAAGATAATTTTACGTATATCATGAGTGTTTTACCGCAATTTTCCTTGTCGTTTTGCGTGGATTCTGTTTTCTAATCAAGCAGCACGTAACTACCTGCATTTTTAAGTAACGGCAAATTGTACAAACAAAGGAGACACATTTAATGCAGTTGACCTTCTGTCTATTGCAAACATAAATGTAAAGCAAACACTTTTTCCAAAGATCATCACAATGAATGTAGATCCCAACCCAGATACAGAAAAGCAGTTGTGTTTTTTAAGGACAGAGCGTTTTATCCATATTATTATAAACTCATCTATAGGTTTAGACAATGTTTTGTGGAATCCTAGGGGGGCATTTGAAAAGCCACTTAATGTCTATTTATGTGTGACAGCTCTATGCGGTAGCGAAAAACAAAAGTATGTACTAACTGGAATTTGCTGAAATAATTTCATGATTTCTTGCACAGGTAAATAAATTGCCCCCGTCACATCATTCTAGGTAGTCTAAGCGTATTGCAGCTATTACATCAATCATCAATCCGCACGGTGTCGCCAACAGAGTGACTTGTCCTTTTATTTTCAAAGAGAATGTTTTATAGTGGTCTTAGCAGTTAGCAATGAATGTAAATGCTGGTGCTTCATCAAATCTTTTTTATAAACGTATCGTGATCATAGGTTTTTAATATGTGTAGGCTTTTGTGGTCAGGTCGATAACAAAAACATAGTCCATATGATAGCTTACACTTCATTTAGCCAATCCTTTGTTGTAAAAACGCATGATAACGTTTCAACCACGAGATAAATGCATTTTAACGAGGGTCATGGAGCCTGTCCCTTGCAGGACTGAAATATCCCACAATGCAGTTCGCCTTGGCGAAATATCGTAGCTTTTTCGAATGTAATCTGCTGTTAAGTAAATTTTAGCGGAGGATGGGAAAGAAAACAGATAGTTAACCACTCTCAAACTTGATGTCAGACAAGAGAATATCCCGAGAACGGACTTGTTATTCAACGGGCAGAATTGTAAAAAAAAATAAATAAAAAAATAAAATAAATAAATAAATAAATAAATAAATAAAAACTTCATAATGGAAAGCTGTATCAAGAAACGATTGTTTGATATCGTATTTCACAATATCAGGAAAGATAGAGGGTTACAAATACAGGTACGTATGCATATAGATAACACCCCAAAGACTTGGAACTGGTGAGTAGAAAAACAAAACACCCGGGAAAAAGAGTAGATGGATTTTTAAAGATATTTCTTACTTATCATCCTATTTCGTCGGTAATATATCGAAGGAGAAACACGTGTTATATGGATAGTAGTCTTACTTAAAAAATACCTAGCTGTATTCCGAAGACCATCATTATCATTAAGCACTATGCATGATACAAATTTCGTAAAAAATTTACAAAATGCATGCTGGCAACCTGAATGGAGCATTTTTACTCATCAACGCAAATTAGGGGAAAACATGTTTAAAAACTGTTGCTATTTAGAGAAATGGTAGACATAGAGGCAGGTTTAAAACCCAGAATGTCCCTTGATTTCGCTCTGCGCTAGATAAATGATTTCATCAACAACTACTAAAATCCAATAAGCAGCACACTGAATAGGTCACAGATTTTACCTGCCAGCCGAATTTTGCAGTTTCAAATGATTGTTTGCCAAGAAATGATAATGCAGATTTGGAGGAAGATCTTGACATCTCACAATAGACAAGAATTTCATTTGGGCATCAAATACATGCATACAATTCCATATTTGAGCCACTCCTCGTAATTGTACGATGTTCACGGAAAATTCTTAGGTATACTGTAATACGTACACCCACCTTTCATTCCACTAAAACATTCTATTGTTCAACCAAGGCACGTTAACATGTTCAACCGCCTACGTTGACATGTTCAAGTATCACAATAAGCGGCAACGTTTATGACCAACGCCTAAAACATCTGAACTCTTGAGTATACAAATGNAAGATGCATTATAAGTGTCAGTTGTAGATGCGAAGCCTTAATAATCTTTTTTTATTCCACAGGCAACCTTCACTTGGTGAAGAAGATGGAGAAGAGGAAGATGATGGCACAGATGAGAAGAAAGGGGCTTTGGAAATCTCAAAGAAAGGAAGGAGACGGAAGAAGAAGAGAGAAAAGGTCTTCCCAGATTGGAAAGAATGTATGCAAGAGAAGGAATTTAATTTGATTGTAGCCCAGGAAAAGAAGCAGGTGTGTGATAATAAAGTACATGCTCAACCATTCTAAACTCGTGATGTTTTGTCTTGGTTCTGGTTATAAACTTATGAAGAGAAAATTAATTATGAAATCATTTAGAAACAATACTTAACTAAGATTTCAGTACTTTGTTTTATTTTGTGTGATGCAGTCATAATCCTAAAAGCTTAGAAATAAAATTTGATATGGTTACATAGATTCAGTGAATCCATAACATCCATATTGTATGTAATATACTATACATTACGTATAGAAAAAATGTGTTTTAGTATTTCATACTTTTAAACTTCAGATCTATGACAATGTAAAAGATGCCCTCCAGAACAGGAAGAGCCTCCGTTACACCAGTGGCAGGGTTCAGCCTCTCATAGAGCCGTCTCCACATGTGAGGAAATCCAAGGGCGGTGTGCTGAAAGAGGAAATCATACCCCAAGGTTCTCAAGCAGGCAAAAGTACAGGATGGAAACAGTTTACTCTGGGAATTGGACTCCTCAATGAATAGTGAACTGTTCTTGGTTATATTTATTGTTTCTTTTAAGGATTTCTTTTAATTTTATTTTGAATTGTTCACATGGTTGTTTAAAACAATTCAGATTAAGAAGAACACGTGTATGGAAACCTGAAAAAAGTATTTGTATGATTTTTAAAACAATTCTGGCATGAGGTAATTCTGGCAAGAAGATATATTACATGCATTCTGATGACTGGCTATAGGTATAGTAGTAATCTAGCCTGCAAGTTGCCTATTTTTACAGCTGAAATTTAATATTCATACATGAGTAGCCAGTCTCCCATGAACTTTAATGTCCACCTTCCAAACTTGCCCTTCTTATTGTCTAAGTGATGGTGCTACATGTGTGATAGAATAATTGTACAGTGCCAATAGCAATGTTAATTTTTGAATAAATATATAAATACTTTGATTCATATTTGTCTTGCTCTGGTGCAATGTATTTGCTGCGGCTGTATACTATCACATTTTTATTGGAAAAGTTGATAATCCTTATTTTCCTATAGGTAAAACACAATGTCAGTTGATTTTTGCAAGAAATCTGAGTTTCTAGAACTACTCGTTGACCTTCATTACACAGGCACTTTATGCCGTAAAAGATTTTGAATAAAAAGAGATCAAAATGCAGGCCTTGGCTGAAAAATTATTCATCCAAGAGCAGGCCTACTTAAATGAATACGTTTCCTCACACTGAGCACGATCCCTGCAGGACTATTTTTTATATCTATTTCGTCAACTGGCTACATGATGATATTGAAAATTAAAGGTTTTTGTGTATTTGTGAATATTTTCTAATAACCTACAAAAGAAAAAAGAACACAGAACAACAACGATACTGAAATGATCATGATAGTACTTTAAGTATGTAAATGGTAGAAAATAATAGCGTTAAAGGCAAGGTAGCGGGAATATCATTCTGAGTACTTATTACGTAGACAGGAAACTATTTAAGTTCAGAGAAAAAGGTATAAATTTTCATATACGGGGGAAAACTTGGGGAGAAAATACAGAACTTTCTTTCAATACTGCAAAGGCCCTAAGAGATAATGACGTTATTAACCAGTTTCAAAAAAATTCTAAACTAATCTTCGAAGACATCCGACCACTTTTAGTATCTTTGCTCAAACGAATCGGATGTCCCGTTTCTGTATGCCATTTCTCTTTCCATCAATATATACTTTTCGAAAAACTTTCCTTGAAGTACAAAAATATCATTTAACGTACAGATAAATATAGCACTTTGTGTAAAGGGCTAATTTTTTTCGACTGTGATCCAAATATAACAGTTTAAATATTAAATTCTAATGATTATAATAAAGTGTATTTAAGTTTTACCGCCTCGCCCTTCTCGTTTTAAAAATGAAATAAAATGAAATAGGACCGGTAAAAATAAAAACAACAATTTAGAGTAATTGGTAGAATACTAAGTTTTATTATTAAAAAGAGATGTGGGGGTTGTATGACAGCTTTAAAAAATAGTTTGCTTTCTCTAAAAGATAAAAGTTTACATTTGCTTGGAGGGAATTTAAAAAGTTCATTGGCAGGGTGAGTAGTGTCGATGTCGTTCATAATCTTTTCGGTTTTGGACGCTACTCTTTCCATATACACATTCACAGGTAGATTTATGTGTAGCACTCTGAAACCACCGCATCTTTGTATCTACTGTGATATTGAAGCATTTTATGTAACCAAAACAACAATTAATGTTCAGGTCAAGCTTTCCTTCCGTCATGCTTCCTTCTCCATCTTTTGCAATTGACAATTTTTTTTTTTTTTTTTTTTTTTGGTATTTATACCCATAAATAAAATCATCAATTTAGTTTCATCCATTATTCGCAAGAGAATATAGTGATAGGACACAGCTGTAATAGAGGAAACACGGCAAAACTGCATTCACATAGAATATAATTTGCAAACCTTCGTTACCTGGCATTGTGAAAATATATTTTTGAGCTTGAGGACAAAATGTGCAAGTAAAATAAATATGCATCTCGTAAAACCCCTTCAGCGCGGTCTAATTGTTAGTATTTTTATATTAAAATATCGTGCGAATATTATCCAAAAGGGTTATTTTTAACACTTTCGTTACCAAAATAGACTAAACCTTCGTTACTTCATCCCCACACTAGCAAGGCACGAATCTTTAGGATTTAAGAAAATCCTAGATTTAGCATTTTCTGTCATCATAGATTTAGAAAAGAGTAGAATCCATGACTATCTTTAATTTCATATTTTACTTTTCCGTTTTCTTCAAATGGATCTATACACTGAGAATAAGTGTTAATGTATGACAAGTTGGAATTATTTGAATTTGCAGGTTTTAAGCAGTAAACAGTGCGGTAAAGGACAGTAATTTTTATCCATTTCTGTTATTTTTTTCACAACAAAAAAGCATATCATAGGCAGTACTCCAGAACATTATAATCTCTCATTATAATCTTTCGTGTGAAAATCATTTAAGCCAGTATTTATCATTATAATCGATTTTCAATTTTTATATTTAGGGTCTAAAGAGTAAGATAAAGAAGAAAGAAATCCGTCTGTGTTGTCACTTTTTCCAATTACTTCTCAACTGATGCTTCTAAAATGAATATGCGAACACGAATCTTAAAAACAAAAAAAAAAAGGAAAAATGCTGTCTGGTACTCCAATTTCTTCATTTACGTAGTCTGTCATTGATTTGGCACCCAAAATCACGAAAAAGGCCAACCCCCTTGCCCTTGGGGAAACAGACTGTAAACGGACCTAGATACAAACATCCAGGCTATATAGATATGTCGACGTCACTATTTTACGGTACTGAACATATTCAATCTACTACATTCTACTAAAAACAAATACTCCACATAAAAGCTAACGTCCTTTTATTTCGTCACAAGTAATACGTCATAAAAGATCAACCAAAATTAAGAAAAAAATCTTTGGATGCCATTACATAAAACCATTTTTTCTAAGACAAATGTTTGTGGTAACTGGATAATTCGAAACAAAAATTCCCCTGCTGCGCGTTGGGTGTTCGTAGAGGCTACAGATATAAGAACAGCCCATATTTTATCAGAGCGCCATTACATCTACTTCGCAGGTGCATCCCTAGTGATGATTCTTCCCTTCTGGCTTCTGTTAGTGAAGGCATTGTTTCTGGTGCACATAAAGTTAAGTACACCGGCTTTACTAAACTGCAGTGGCCCTGTGTCAAAGTATGTACCAGCGTCGTCCAACTGAGACATCTCTCCGCCATATTGGGCTAAAAAGAATGAATTTTCAAAATGGTGTTTATTTTTTGCGAATATTAAAAACGTATTAGATTGAATAATATAACTGTTTTCAATCTTTGAAGCGTTGTTGCCATAGAAAGCTTTAAAGGGAGTGGTAGCAGTTCATTAGTTTAAAGTGTATTCATGTAAAAGCATGGCATATATTAAAAACATGTACTAGGGTTTCAGTAATGCCAAATAATAATGTTCCCTAGGTGTCAGCAGTGTCAAATAACAGTACTAACTAGGTGGCAGCAGTGTCAAAAGATAATACTCACTAGGTGTCAGAAGTGCCAAACTTTGTAAGAGTTCCATAGATGCCCCAGTAAGGTCAGAAACATTTGTCAGGTGCATGGGATAGTTGTTGCCCCATTGACCGACAACGTCAAGTCCACCGAAAGCGGCGCCGGGCGTTCCCTCGGGGTAGTTTTTGTTCCTCAACATGACCAGGTTGTTGCGGTCAGTACCGGCAAGCCCATTTCCGGCGTTGTTTCGCGGGTTCCTGTTGGACCCGGTCCACCTGTTGAGAAATACATATTAATGTTACAATCCTAAATTGTCTGTGATATATTTTACTTCATTTTATGTAATCAAGGTCGATGTAAAGACAGAAGTGTAAATTATAGTTTCACACTTAAATAATTGCTAATGAAAATATTAATAAATCAAGCACAGGTAAAATAGTGGAAATATAAAAAGTAGAACAGAAATGAAAAAGCACTCCCCTTTTCAATACCAATACCAAACAATGTACCACTGCGAAAAAATACCTTATTAAAAACATGGGTCTTTTACGATTAAGCTGCGTTTGAGACCTTGCGTATGGAGTGTGTGGCGGGGATTTCAATGTCATCAGTGACTTTACATGAGACTACATTGTGTACTTACTGAATATGTATGTAGTCGTTTGTGTTGATCTCCAAGGTGTTGGGGACATAGTCGTATTCCACTGCTGGGTACACCTGTTGGTTGTTACCACGTTTTCCTCTCACGTTCAAATTGTGGATAGTAACGCCTTTGAGTTCATCAGGTCTTTCTCTAATGGCAAAAACGTGTGACCTAAGTTGAATAAGAAATAAACATGGTTTAGTTAGGACAATTCAATATTGTGCGAATATCAAGAGGCAAATCTGCAAGCTTCTTAAATCTATGCCTCAGAAAAAAGAACGCACACGTAACTATCATAGTAATATTGGAGAGATATTAAGATTTTCGTTGTATTTCTGTTGTAGAACGCCACAAGAAGAACACAAAGAGACATTCACTCCTCTTGCGTATATACTAGAACTAAAAAGGAAAAAATTACGGCAACGAGGAGCGAGTTAACGTCCCATTGGGAATTTTAATAAATACCTTTTAAAATGTGTCATCATTTTATTTTGTAATGTTAGTAATAATCTTGACCGGATATTTTACCTGTCCTGGAAGGTACGTCCAAATTGTGCGGTGTTGATGGCCAGAGCTAAATTCACACCGAGGTCGGGAAAGATCTGCACTGTTGGGTTATTCTGGAAGATGTAGCCTCTATTCCTCGCGGCGGCCTCGTTTGCGAAACCGAATCTCTCTGAATAGTCGATGGTGGAGCCCTCTACCTCATCATTTTCGTTGGAAGATGCGTCAGTGTTCCAAGGATCGTAGTCGTCGGTTGAAATGTTGTATCTTAGAAACAGAAATACATCCATATCAAATATGTAATATTTCAACCAAGGGAAATATTCTGTCGGTATCATATTATATTATCATTAATGGACTACGATCGAGATGGGCCGGTGGGTCACTTTTTGCCCCTTCCTGAATCTATCAATGTAATATTACCCCAACCCCCAAACAAACCCAGTATTGAATACCTCACTTACCTCATTCTTAATATACATCTTTCATGTGCAATGCCCTCGGGAATGACCCAATCGTAGGTGTTGAAATACCCTCCAATACCGTTGCCATTGTGGTTGTCACGTGACCAAGGAGCCAGACGACAATCTGGCGCGGGAAGGTTGTGAGCCGGAAATTCGGTCCATCTGCCTACTTTCTCGCCTTCGTATTCGAATTCCTGAAAACCCCAAATTCAGATGATCAGTGCCAGGTGTAACAAAAAAGGACCCGCAGAATGCAAATGATACTTGGTGAGGACCGCCAAAAATAACGATACATTATTATATTGTTACTTAAGCCGGTAAAAATGCGCCTAAAAACTTATGGTGACATTTCTTTTAAATCAGCAGGTCGAAAGGAAGGGAATCTATTACCACTGGAAATCCGATCAATTGAGTCTACCAAACATTTTTTAAAAAAATTGAAGACATACCTCTTCAGGAAATTGTTTGATTAATCGACTTTTAAATTGATTTTACAAATTTTATAGTAATTGCATTTTGCACTGTAAGAAATAAGGCTGTTCTAACTATAATCTTTTCTGTGTGCAAATAAGGCTGTTTTTTTTATTTAGAAATGATTATTTTTTCTTTACAAACATATTTTAGTTATGTAAGTGATTTTTTGTGAGAATCCGTATGTTTTATCTAGAATACTCTTAAATATTTTGTTTTTAAGCTCCGTAATTTTTCATTTATCTATTCCTAATAATTGATTCCTGAAGTAATTGTTTTATGTATATGTAAAGTCTTCTGAACATGTTATAATGGATTTTAGACTCAAATTTATTATTATTATTATTATTATTATTATTATTATTATTATTATTATTATATAAAGCAGACCCCCCCCCCTGAACCCATCAGTAAATAACTTACGGCACAATCTTCCGCGTTGTTAGGCACAATGATGTTCCTCAGATATCTTTCCATCAAAATCTCTCTGGGTATGACACAGGCCCATCTTGATTTGACGTTAGCGCTCTCTGTCTTGTAATATTGGCATCTCTCCTCGTCATTGGTCATAACTGCAATGTCCTAAAATATCAAGTTTGCATCAAATACGATGTTTTTGAGATATGAAATCTGTCGCCATGCCAGGAGCACGCCAAACGGTTTATTTGTGTCAATGCACGAACGGCATCTACGTGAAAAATTCACCGATGAATAAAGCAGGTTTTCCCCGCAAGGGTGCGTATTTTCGAAAAGGTCAATTTCACAATTAACAAAATTTATACAAGGAAAAAAATTAACAATTACGTCAATTATGTTAGAGAAAAAGTTCGTGGTTTCATTGATTTCAAGATTTACTCATCTGATTTACAATGATCAAGTTTTAAACGTAGTTTTTAATCTTCAAAATACCTTCCATGGGGTCGGATGCCAGTATGGGTAGTAATCTTTCTCTTCTGGGCATTCGTAGCCTCTTCTTTGGCCATTGTTGTTCTGACGGGTACGTCTGGCATCGTTACGGTTCAGGTTCTGTTCAATGATAAAATCAACTTTCTTTTTCACAAATTGTATAAGAACATTTAGTTCTATTGGGAGTTCTAAGCAATTCTTAATAGTTTGCACAATACCACTAGATATCTTGATATCAACGCGCTCAGTCAGTACATGTGTGTACGCGTGCCTGCGCGTGCGTGCGTGCCTGAGAGAGAGAGAAAGAGAGAGGGAAGAGAAAAAGACTGACTTGTGTCCGTGACGAAAAAAAAAAACATTTGTAACATGCAAAATCAACTACTGTATACCCACCCTGTCGGCAATAAAAAGTCCCTTGTTTCTCTCCCTGGTGCGGCAGTTCAAATAGTAGTCAAAATCCTCCTGCATGCCAAACTTCATGTCAGTGTTACAGTCGAAGTTCTCGCACCTGTCATGGCGATCTGGAATGGTGGTGGTGGTAGTACCATCCCTGATCTTGTCGTCACACATGTACTGCAGAACCAGCTCACAGTGGGCATTCTGGTCTGCACAGGTGTGTTGATTAGTCCTGAAAGTGATAATAATAATAATAATAATAATAATAATAATAATAATAATAATAATAATGGAAAACAATAATAAAAGATAATAAAGAAAAAATGTTAAAAACAACAATGCAGAGTACACAGCCACACGAGTTTATACCCTAACATGCGCATTACATGTGCATCATTTTAGCGTCCAAAATCTATTAGTGCATTCCCAGAGATTTAGATCGATCCATCCGGACCGAACTAACTCCCTGGGGGTTCACGCTAAATTGCAGTCAGCCGAGCGCGCACGGTAGTTAATTACCCCCTTACAGCTTTTAGTAGGCGGGACAGACGCTTAAAGCCGGCTAGGCTGACAGTAATCTAGTGAGACTCCCCACAGGGATAGATCGATCTAAAATCTGTGGAAATGGGGTCTATGACTCAAAATTCATGTAGGACTCCTATTTTCGGTTTCTGTGCAGTACATACCAGAAACCATAAAAAGGAGATCTAATGCTTGAATTTTGTGCTACAAAAACTAAAACTGACAATATGACATTTGCGACTGCATTTAAATGGACGGGAAGGACATCACTTTTGTTATATTTACTAATGTGATTAAATATTAATAAGTGGCATTCTTATCTATTAGTTTACTGAACTTGACTACAGATAAAGAATGACAGTTGTTTGGCTCATTTCAAAATATGAATAGCAGGATTAAAGAAAAGGCGAAAATATTGGTAAATGTTTTAGCTATCATTACTTACCATTCAATCGAAAGTTTTGTTCCTTCGTAATAGTACAGGTTTCCCACGTTGTACCCACCCCGGTTGTTGTTCTGCGAATCGTACAGTCTAAAAAGAAAAAAATTGTTTATAAACATAAATAAAATAAAGCTTAAAAGATACAGTGACTATGGAATTGCCGGCCGCCATACATGTAAACTACATGTACGATAAACAAAAATGTGCTACACAAACAGGATATTCACATATATGTATTTAGATAAATAGACGGCCATTTAACTATCTCTTTGGCTTTTCCCATTTTTCTCTATATAATCTGCCACCCTGGTAGAGGGTAGCGGATCTCCACTTCTTGGATAACCATTTCAGCCACTCCGGTTTCCGTGTCACGTGTTTGTTTTGCCTGAACAACCCCATATATCAGTAGGAAAAACATAGGTCAACCAAATGTTTAAAATGCAATTACCAATATTACCAAGTGAATTTAGAAATGGAAATGGCCAGTTGAACAACGTAGTGTTTGCTGGTAGTGCGGGTCGATCTGATTTACTTGAAAGTCAATTTAGAGAAGCAGATTACAAATTGCTTGAAATGATCTGTTAAGACCCTCATTTTAAATACGTTTGTAAATATACCAGCATCTACTCTTGAATGCCTGCAATCATTGACAGACAACAGTTATAATATATGAGTGGGCGATGGTATGTCCCTAATTACATTTAAAATAAGAATAGAAACTTTTAATTACGTCAAAATCTGTCAACATTATTATCTTAAATGGATGAACGTTTGGTTTCATTATAAATCAGCCCACGATATTTTTAAGGGTTACCCAGGGCTTTGAAGTTGGGCGAGGTACTTTTTGCTTGTCAATTCCCCTATGTGGGCCCCATGGCGCTAATTTACAAGAAAACCCACATGCAACTCTGAAGTTCATGCAGTAGCACACAATAAAAGAAACAATTCAAAGGATGAATAAAATGAAAAAAATTATAAAAAATGCCTACCTTGCGTTATTTCTTACGTCACGACCTTCTCCATCCAGTCGATTATTACTACCTCTGAAATTTAAGACAAAAAATAAATGTTCATGTTTGTAAAATTATAATAAGCACAATAAGCAGAGCGCAAAAATGTGCTTCTCTTACAATCAAGAAAAATAACAAATAGTAGGCATTCTGCTGATACCAGTGGAAGATGAGAATGGTTGCTTAGTTCAGAACCTATGAGTGAATTCCAGATACTTTAAACAATGTTATATCTAAATTAACGCAAAAGTACTTAAGTTTTATTACAAATTTGGATTTCGGTGATACAGTGCAAATTCCAAGCCACTTGAATAGACAAACAGGGACAAGCGAGCAATCTCCAAAATCACACACCCCCCCCCCCCCCCCCCCCCCCCCCCCAACTGACCCCTTTGATAAGTTGGGCCTTGAACGTGGAAAACCAGTTTGGTGTGCATACTACGTGACTATTGTATAAGCCACAAGCGAAAACTACTAGTACTCACATTCCCATTCAATTCAAGAGCTCTTTGTTCTTTGCACCTTGGCCCTTTCTCCTTATGCTAAATACAAAGTCATGTGCAAATATTTTATTCTCAATATTTTAAGATACCGCCCAAAAAATGCAAAATGTTTCTCGTCAAATGTCATCAAATTTTGTTCGATGGGTAACACGCGTGCTTTTATTTTAAACTTAGTTTTTTAAAACCCCAGTTATTTTCTAAATAATCTCCCAATTTCTTTGTTCCGTATTTCATTTATTTCGCTTCTCCTTCTTTAGCCCCGGCCAATTTCTACAAGGTCTTATGTCGAATGCTATTTGAATATGTACTTTAATTTGTCCTTAAAAAGGTATTCACACCGTCGAGTAATTTGAGCTTGGCTACTTATCTTACTTCTCTACTCTATTCTCTGCTATTCTATTCCATTTGATAAGCTCATAAACCTTATCAAATTGGCTTTCGAGGGAAAATATATATTAGTTATTTCACCACTGATCTTTTGCAGGGATTTAGATCTCTGCCACGCTCCAATGGCAATGTAAATAGTGGTCAATTTAATAATATCGCATATCAGACGAGATCTTTATATGTCGTTCACCGCAGATGGAGGATAAAAATATCGATTATATTTATTCTTATAATTTTGTACCTCAAGGCCATATACTTGTGCACACGGGTGCCATGCCAGATAAGCGAATTCCGAGGTTGGTGAATACTTTTCCACAATAAATGATACCGACGGCAACACGTAAGAGAAAATGTCAGTAAGTTTCAGAAAAAAACTTACCTTGGATTATGAAGGTAGATATCGGCTTGAGCTAAAACCACACAGCTCAGAATGACGCCCAAGGTCTTCATCTTTCTTCTGAGTCTGTTAGAATCACGCTTGCAAAGACACAAGTTGAAATTTTAATATTTGTCAGTCGTTCTAGTCACTGCCTATTCGCGTGAGCTCAACAAAATAGTTCCCCGCACTGCCCAAGAGAGCGTCCCGTCATGCTTTGGTTTGACGCAGGTAGGCTAATTATAATTATCACCCATCTTTATCTGATGAATTGCCTTTTGGGGTCCCCGCCAAGCCCTTTTGTAACGGTCTGCGTGAAATCAGATAGATGATCACGATGGTAAGA